CATTCGAAGAAGATGAGTTAGGCTTGACCTTACTGTATTGCACAGATGATGCTGGTTTGGCTGTTTGATAAGAAGACGTGACCATCTTGCTTTCTGTGAACCCCCTGCCCTTATAATTAGACTCCATTTCTCTTATATCAATTTTTTTTGGTTCTTCAACACTAGGGAGGCTCTATATATATAATAGTTTCTTAATGTACTATGTGTTTGTGTGTGTGAGATATAGATGAACCTTTTGAATGGATAATGATTCTTGCTACAAAATATCTTGTTACTTCTCTATTGGTCAGATACACTAAAAATTCTAATCTGATGTGCCTTTCATTTGGGCAAAGTGAGGCCAATAAATAGAAAAGTGGCACAAAATATCTTTTACAACCTTGAAGGTTCAAGGGGGGTCACTAGTGATTTATTCCAGATATGTTCCTATACTTTTACTGGGTTTTGAATGACAGATATGATCCCATACACAAAAGATTTGAAGTTTCCTATTGTATAATGCTTTTCTATCCAAAAGATTTTATCCAAGATATGGTGTATATTCCTTGCTAATATATTTGGCTAAGGATGGTCGATTCCATGTTTGTGTTACATCCAGGAATTCGTTCAATGTTGCGTGAGCCTTGGTGCAATGGTAAGGTTGCTTCATTTTAACATGAAGGTCACGAGTTTGAAACAAGGAAATAATCTCTCTGCATAAATTTGACCTTTCCTAAATCCCACAGTGACGGAGCCTCTGAGTTTGCCCTTTTATTTATGAATGTTCTTCTCATGCACTAAAATGAATCAAATGGTCTTCCATTGCTTGCTTCAGAGTAGCTTGAGTAATTGTAGTTAAATGTGTATTGGATTGCACAACAGTGTGTGGTAACAAAATTGTCTGTAATCTGTATTAATTTGTTACCTTGACCTTTGGTGATTTTAGTCTATTAAGTAATTAACTGCTGGTGTTTGATGTGTGAAACACAGAACTTCCTATGAAATTGATGTGTGGTGCAGATATTTGAAGCCATTCACGTCCACTTTCTGTATCCCACACATATGCTGTAATATTCCAATTGAATTGCTTTAGTTATCCAAGAAATATTCCTACAAGTTCAGTTCCTTATTTGAGAATGGAATTGTATTAGAATTTTAAACCTTTACATGAAAAAAAAATAAAAAAAGGCTTTTTTTATTTTATTTTAAGAAGAGTTTGGTCTGTAGTTCCTTTAGAATCTGAAATCCTTGCAAATTAGGAAGTTTTACATCTCAAATTTTTAAATTTGATCCTCTGTTCCAATCAACCTTTCTAGCAACACTGCTGATAGTGCCAGTACCCTTTTAACCAAAAAAAAAAAAAAAAAAAAAGTCTTCCAACCCCACCACCTAAATCTAGTCATAAAACAGTAGCACACACTTATTTAATTTTATTTTTTAAACTTTATTATTATTATTTTTTTTTTGGCAAAAGTCTCCCCAGCCATGATTTGAATAGTCACTAGTGGTACAAATTAAGCACATCTAATGCTAATGTTTTTGTGGCTTAAAAAAAAATCATGTTTTCCTTTTCTTTTTAATGATTTTCTGCAACTGAGCAGATGTTACTTCAGTGTCAAATTAATAACAAGACATAAGACACCTCATTGAATATTACACCTTCTCCCTAGAAATTTTCCGGAACTTGTTTTTGAAGGTTTATTAATTACCCTCTTTCTCTAGCAGAAGGATATTTACTTCTTGACTCTCTGCATAACATGTGCCTACTCTTCTAAAATGACTTGCACTTAATCTGCTGTAGCATGGACTACTTGAGAGCTCTCTTATAAACGATAACCAAAAAGGCTTAAAGCTCATTTTGCCGGAACTACAAGAATGCAAGACATTGAACCTGATATATAACATAGTCCTAAGTGAAAAACATTTTAAAAAAGCTATCTTTAGACATTCAATGACAAATGATTCATTCCATTTAATTTTTTTACAAAGCATTTGAAGGTAAAAATGGCCTTACTGGATAAATTGTTGTCGACGAAGGTCTCATCACCTCAAAGCATCGGTGCTTCTTTTGCTGTTATGGTTCAAGTTGCTGAACTTTGCTCCTAAATGCTGTGTAACATAAAGAGGAATGATCCCATTTTGTGGAATGCTAAAAGCTGCCTTAAATTCGACTATATTGTAACTAAAAACGCGCTTGGTCTCATTGATCAAATATATAGAAGCAGAATTCAGATTGCATTATAATAAGATTTACTTACTGACCTTGCTTACATACTAGGCATACACAGACCAGAAATACAAGCACTATTATCTATTCTAGTGATATTACAGTTCAGCAAATCTTTCAAGCCTAAAGCGTTCTTGAACGTATGAGATATAACTTGCTGCTAATATGTCGACACTAATTTCATCATCCCTGGCACCATCACCAGGCTTAATGGAAGCATTCGAAGAAGATGAGTTAGGCTTGACCTTACTGTATTGCACAGATGATGTTGGTTTGGCTGTTTGATAAGAAGACATGACCATCTTGCTTTCTGTGAACCCCCTGCCCTTAAAATTAGACTCTATTTCTCTTCTATCAAATTTTTTTTTTGGTTCTTCAACACTTGGGAGGCTCTATATATATAGTAGTTACTTAATGTACTATGTGTTTGTGTGTGTGAGATATAGATGAACCTTTTGAATGGATAATGATTCTTGCAACAAAATATCTTGTTACTTTTCTATTGGTCAGATACACTAAAAATTCTAATTTGATGTGGCTTTCATTTGGGCAAAGTGAGGCCAACAAGTGGAAAAAATAGCACAAAATATCTTCTACAACCTTGGAGATTCACTAGTGATTATTCTTATACAGATTTGAATGACAGATATGCTACCATACACCCAAGAGATTTGAAGTTTCCTATTGTATAGTGCTTCTCTATCCAAAGTATTTTAACCAAAATATGGTTTATATTCCTTGCTAATATATTTGGCTAAGGGTCGTCGATTCCATGTTTGTGTTGCATCTAAGAATTCATGCAATGTTGTGTGAGCCTTGGCACAATGGAAAGGTTACTCTGTTTTGACCTGGAAGTCACGAGTTTGAAATAAAAAAATATCTATAAAACTGCAAGCCTGCAAATATCTGACCCTCCCCAAATCTCACAATGAGAGAAGCTTTTTGCGAACATATTTCTCATGCACCAAAATGAATCTAAATAGAAATGACACTATCAGTAATCTTTTCAAATGATAATTTTTGCAGTTGCATCTTTTAGTGGGGTAAATTGGTTCCATAATATGATTCCAATTTATTCTCACTAGATCAGAAGATATGGATATTTTCATTTGGCCAATTATTAGTATACAATAAGATAAACTGACATGGTCTAAGACCAAGAATGGCATCTGCTCTCTCAGTAGTGGATACCGCACCATGCTTAAGAAAAGCAAGGCTTGACACACAGATCTTTTCTTTTACTCCACCTCCAAATCCATGAAAGCAATATTGAATCTTAAGGTTCCTTCTCAAATTTAGATGTTTTTGTAGGAAAATTATTAATCATATGTTTTTTTTTTTATAAATGGAGGTAATTACACTTACCTTTCTTTTAAATTATCTAAATAATACCAACGAGTTAGTAGTTTAGCGATATCAACCTCTTAGGCCATCCGTAGCGTGGTCTTGATAGCCCATTTTAGGAGAGCCAATCCACTAAAGGCCCTGCAGTGGCTTAGCTAAACCTCCCGCGGTATTCAGCGAGCCGGCCCGCGATCGCTAATTTTTTTTTTTTTGCATCAAAACGACGTCATTTCCGGTGCAGCTTTTTGTCTTATTCCAGCAGCTCCTTCCACAGTGTGCCGATTTTTTAATTAAAACCTAAAAATAGGTTATTTTGAACTCCTTTTAAAATAAAAAATAAAATATATTAAATAAAAAATATATTGTTTAGGCACTATTTGTCAAAAAATAAATTTTATTTGGGCCAAAAATAAATTAGAAAAGCTTTTTTTTTTTTTTTTTTTTTCCCCTTAAAATTTGTTTTTTTATTTTTATTTTTTTTTGCTTTAAATTTTAAATATGTACCACAAATAATGCATTTGGCCGTTTAAAAATATAGCAGTTTAGGAAAAGTTAAAAAATATATAAAAAAATTTAATTTTAATTTTTTATTATTATTTTTTTTGGAGAGTGCAAAATTTGGAGAACCTGATAAAGTGTATGTTTCTAGAGAGCGAAAACTGCTGAAGTGGTTCTTAAAATTGTTGATGTGACTCTTGGAAAAACTGATGTAGCGTTTTTAGAGAGCCAAAATTCGAAGAGGTTGGTGCAGATGGTCTTACTTCCCAAAAGAATGTCATGAGTTTAAGTTTTAAAAGAGACAAACGAATGTGTGTGTGTGTGAATATCAATTAGGAAAAAAAAAAAATTGCCTAAATAATATGACATCCTCTGTAGTTTCAAAAATAAGAGTAACCTCTTCTATCAATGATTTTGACCTAACTTGTTAAATGATTAGTATATTCATTGTACCTCTATTAATTCAATAAATGAACAAAATAATATTTTAAAGTTTTTTGAAAACATTTCTCAAATATTAAGTAAGTTTAGAACATGACGCGATGAGAGCCTCAAATTTTATAATAAGGGAGGGGATTGAAGGTCCTTATTATTTAGGCACAGTAAAAGTAATTGTTTCGAAAAAAAATAAAAATAAATTAAGAGCATGTTTAGTTTATAATTGTGAAAGCAGTTCCCAAGAAATTAAAAAATAACAAACTGTTCTTAGAGAAAAATATTTTATTGTTCTCTGAAAATAAAAATTTTTATAACTGAATTTTTGCAAAAATAACTTTTTAAAAAGTAGGAATATTTTTTTTTTTACAAATTACTGAAAAAAAAATTATTTCTATAGTTACACAGAAAAATGGTTGCTTTTTAAAAACCATTGGTCCATTTGTGTTGTGGGACCAATCAGCATGTCAACGTGGCAAAGCCAAGTTTGACTTGTTATTCATAGTAATCGCATTCTTCCTCATCGCAGCACAACCGTAGCCGGAACGCCAAATACTCTCTCACAGTCTCTGCCTAATTCTCAGTGTCCGTTGGGGTCGTCCTTCAAACACACACACTCACTCTCTCTATAAATTTCTGAACAATCAGAAATGGCGACTCTAGCTCGGTTGTCCAGAAAAGCCCTAACCTCCACTCTCTCCTCTCACCACCTAATCCACCGTACACTGGCGACGGAGGCGGCTAAGATCACAGAATCGCCGGATCGAGTGAAATGGGACTACAGAGGGCAGAGACAGATCATCCCTCTGGGGCAGTGGGTCCCGAAGATCGCCGTCGACGCCTACGTGGCCCCCAACGTCGTCCTCGCCGGTCAGGTCACCGTCTGCGACGGAGCCTCCGTCTGGAACGGCTCCGTCCTTCGGGGTGATCTCAACAAGATCACTGTAGGGTTCTCTTCCAGTGTCCAGGAGAAGTGTGTCCTCCATGCGGCTTGGTCTACCTCTACAGGTTTGAATTCCTTTTGCTGTCTTTGGTTCTTAGGGTTTTGAATTGTTTGCTTGCTGAGAATATGCAGAAAAGAAAGCAATCAATATGTTGGCCTTAGGATTTAGATTGTTTGGGACCGTGTGTGTGTGTATATATATATATCATTTTAGATTGTTTGGTCTCCTTTTGTGACTGTAGAAAATGAGGTTTTGAACTGTTTGATTAGAATTGTTATTATTACATTTCTAGACTTTATTGATTTTTTAACCATGTGGTTTGTTTTTGTTTCCATGATTGTCTTGAATCAGCCTCATGTGGCTTTTGGTTGGTATATGTGAAGGGTTAGAATTTTTAGTGTTTAGCGCTGATACTTGAATTGATTTAGAATATCGAAATTAAGAAAGAACTTATTGAAATTTTAGGGAGATTTTACAATCTAAATACAGCTATAATAGGAAGGTTGGTTGAGCATTATGTAGTCATCTATTACAAATCTTATAATGGTGCACGAGTTCTTTATGAATTATGGTACCTTACCCTCCATAAAGAAAACACAGTTTGTAGATTTATATGATTACCCTGGTAGTGGTAAAATGAGAATGAACCCGGGTTCGACCATTGAGAGCAGCTTGCTGCCCAACATCTTGGATTAATTGGGACCACACTGGTAATGTTTACACATGATGTTCTACACATGACACTCTGATTTAGATATGGGATGTTTCCGACATGTCAGTTTAGGCATGAAGTTAGCAAATATATGTAATAATTCAAATTTATTGTATAACTGCATATAAAACTATTTTATTTTTATCTTATAGTACAATATTGCTTCAAAACAAGCAAAACGTTCACGTTGAGCACTTTATGTTGCACAAAAACATAAAATAAGATTATATGAAATTTTTTGTCATGTCTATGTGTTCTTGAATTAGGGATTTGATAAATACATTCACTCCAGACATGTATGTGTCTAAACATTGAACTTATCAAAACTCTAGACCAGTGTTGTTAAAGACGCTCCTAGGCTCTAGGCTCATATAGGCGCAACACTTGTGCTTGTTGTGTGGTGCACCTTTGACAACATTTTCACCTTTAAAATGGAGTATGAATATGCTTTAATAGTGATTTAATTTTTCAATTGTGCGCCTCACTTCACTCAGGCGCACACCTCGCACCTATGCTCCAAAGGACCTCTGGCGCCTTAGTGTGCTTGGGCCATTGATAACACTGCTCTAGACAATTAATTTTTAGTCATGTCTATAGTTTCTTTCTTGACATTGATAATTTTGTTAGACCAGTTACTTAAAGTTGATTTTTAATCATATTTTTAGTCATTGTCAGGCAGCTTGAGGATTCGGCATATTATTTTGTCTTGTTTTGATATGAGTGGGTTCATTCTATCTTCTATTATCATAAATATTTTCACTTATCAAAAAAAAATTTCATAAATATTTTCAACCTCTAGGTTGCCTTTTCGGTTGAGGGAATTGGAAGAGAAGGAAGTGAAATGTGTGAGTTGCATGGTGTGCAAGTGGTGTGAAAGTTATTTTGATTGATTTTTAACGTGTGAGTTGCATGGTGTGCAACTGGTGTGAAAGTTATTTTGATTGATTTTTGAATTCTTTTTTATTTTAACTAATTAAATCGTAGTAAATTAATCACACACAAAAAAGGCATAAAATTACGACAACGAAAAGTAAAGAGAAAGAGAGAGAGAGGACACTAGGACTTTTATGTGAAAATCTTTAGCGAGGAAAAATCACAGAGACTTAGTTGTCTTTTGCGAAACAATCCACAACCAAGAAAGAGTGCAATGAGTTCCAGTGCCTTTGGAACTGCTCTCCATGGGAGTCTATAATTCCATTGCCTTTGGAATCACCTACTGTTGATTTACCTTCGACACTAGGACTTTTATGTGAAAAACATTAACGAGGAAAAATCACAAAGACCAAGTCGCCTTTAGCGAAACAATCCACTAACAAGAAAGAATGCAATGAGTTCCAGTGCATTCAGAACTGCTCTCCACCAGAGTGTATAATTCCAATGCTTTCGGAATCACCTGTTTTTGATTTACCTCTGACGCTCGGTGTCCTTCGTTCCCAGTGCCTTTGAAACCTCCAACAAACGAAGTCACCTCATGATGATCCCTTCTTCTAGTGATTGAACTCGTTGAGTCTTCCACGAACTGTGTCGATGAGAATAAGAATCTGCTCTTCTGATCGAATTTTTTCAATATTGTCGATTAGATGTAGAGTATCACACTAATTTCTTAGTGAACCTAATGTTTCCTGAGTGTAAAAAAAAGAAATTTGAAAAAATCTCAGTTGATTTCTATCTCAAATCTTGCAAAAAAATCCTCAGTATAGTCTTTGATTATCACTCTCAAAAAAATCCTTATCAAAGCTGAGTATTTTCAAGCAAGAGAGTCCTCAAAAAGTATTGAGAAAGTAGTTTGAAAACACTACTTTCCTCTTTAATTCTATGATGATCCAAGACTCTGATAGTGGGTAATTTCACCCTTTTAGTCTAGTTGTTTTAACCACAGTGTAATTAATATTAAATGGGCCTAGGAAGTACCTTCACCCTTTTAGGTATGTTGTTCCTGCCATAGTTTATAACTAACATCAAATGGACCTAGTAAGTAACTTTGCCTTTATAGTTATGTTATCTCAACTATTCTTATTTATCAAAAAAGAAAAGTTATTTCAAATATTCTTTGTTTACTAAATAAAGTAGAATCAGAATCAGTAACTTCACCCTGATAGGAGCAATGTTGTACATTATTGGTAAGGAACATAAGATTTCTTAATCTGTAATTTCACCCTCATAGCTATATTATCTCAACCATAGTTTGTAATGAACATCACATATCAAGTGTGCCTGGTAAGTAACTTCACCCTTATAGTTATGTTTTCTCAACTATAAACAAGTAACTAACATAAAATGGTCTAGTAAGTAACATTATTTGTAATTTCTCTTTATGCACATATACTTGGGTATTATATTACACTCCCATTTGACATAAATGAAGGGAAACTGATTCACAAAGGATTTACGTGAAGAATAAACCTATATATAAGTAAATTAGTCATCCATGAGAAAATTAATGTTTCAGCTTTGCGGCAGTATCACATGGAGATCACACTGACAACAATTGTTCTCTACAATAACCCTGTTTAAACACTTAACAACGTTAGTTTATGTGATTTCCCTATGGACAACATTGAGAAACATGTTCGTAAAAGCGGATAATATCTATCTAACTGCTTCTAATAATGTCTTTTGGGTAGTTTTAATAAAGGGTTTAATGAAACTCTCTCTCCTTATGACAGTCTGAATATTTATTCGTGTTTTCTTTTCTGCATTGTTGTTGCAGATTAATGAAATGTCGAGAGTGATATAACACCAATATAAGGTTGCTCCACTGATTTACGAAGCATGGTCAAGTCCTTGTCAATTTTGTTTTTGCAAAAAGAAAGAAAGAAAGAAAGAAAAATAGTCTAGCTTTCACCATAAAAATTGATAATGAAATAATTTAAAGATATAAATGTGCATAAATTATTATGTTATAGAACATACCACTCCTGCTATAAACATTGCATGCACATTCCCACCCTCAAGACATCTATTGAAGAACAGCATTTGTACTATCCTTTGGATCTCATCCACTCAAAACAAACTTTATGATCATACACAAGTCACTTTATTTCACGTACATGCAGCAATAGAGGCTTGTTTTTTGATGCTTTCAAGTGTGAAAGAACAAGAAAATGGGTTCAAATGATAAAGAACTGTTATTCAAACCACTGTTGTAATCGGAAGAGGTATTTGAAAATCAAATCATTGTTCCGAGGCTTTCAGACACCTCTTCAAATTGCATCAATGGTTTATATATCAGTATTTCAGCAGTTGAATCCTTTTTCTTCTTTACACTTGAAAGCCTCGAAAGCGGAACCTCTATTATTGCTTATGCGTGGAGTAATATGTATGATATTAATTTCAGTTCTTGGTCATTAATGAAATTCGGTTCTGAACCTGAGACTCTCTAACGACTTTCCTATGAGTCACCAAGGGAAAAACTGAGTGGATAGTATCTAGAGGAACAAAACTTTCAGATCATACGCAAGTCAATTTACTTCACGCATGCAACAATAGAGGTTTGTTTTCTGATGCTTTTAAGTGTAAAAGAAGAATAAGAAAATGGGTTCAAATGATCAAGAATTGTTATTCAAATCATTATTGTAATTGAAAGATGTATTTGATTATCATTGTGTACAAACTAATGAGGGTCAGGCCAGTGAAGATGCCAAGTCCGAAGAGAGGGTGATTGTAACATCCCACATTGCTTGGGAGAGTTCCTTACATGCCTCCTACTGGTGTAGACGTGTGTTAAAACCGTGAGTGCCAAGAGGGTGCAAAGCAGACAATATATGTACAAGCAATAAGTGCGTGTAAGGCATTTTGAATATCAAATAAAAACCGAGTGTTACTTACAATGAGGCAAAATTTTAAGTTACGTGATTTTACTTATCACTGAATGGTGAACACTTAAAATCCGAAAATATGTATAAAAAAAAATCCCAATTTACAGTTACCGCTTAAAACTTCAGCACTTAAAAATTTAGCTCTTAAAATTTTCAGTTTTATATAACACCTAAGTTTCTCACAAAATGTTATCCATTGTTTTATCTAAAATAAGGAGGGTAAGGAAAGAAAAATGAGGGAGGTCCGCTAACAGCAAAATGACTACCCCCTGCTCATTCGCGGGCCATTGACTGGCCAGTACGTAAGTCACATGATACAATCTGGAACCACTGTAAGTCTCTTGTAAACAATTCATCAAATTGCCTATTTCCATATGAACTGCTATAAAATTTAAAATAGAGGCATATGCGTTACATATCAGAAAAGGGTGTCATCATTTCCCTTATATATTTGTGGCTTAGGGTTTATGGGTTCAGGCACAATGCCTCTTTGCTGGCTAAGACTTAACTTGATATGTACTCTAATAATGCCATTTTATCTCTGACTTGTAAGAGGAGATGATTAAACTCCATGAAGCCATTAAAACAGATGCGAAGATAGAAGCACTAGGATGACAAAGAAAGCACAATCTTAAAAAAAAAAAACATTGGGAATACAAAGGTCTTTTACCCAGAAAACAGTTTAAAGATTTGCCCAACAAAATAATCACACTAGTTTTTGGATAGTAGAAAAATGGTCCCCTGTGTGGAGCTTTTTCCCTTCTCCTATGGTTTTCTTAATTCCAAATCAGGCATATCTCTTTTTCTGTATTAACACAATGATATTCTTGTCTATTTCCTAGTTTGTGTGGATGATCTCATTGTGCGGGTAATAGTCCCATTCATTACTCCATTTATTCATGCTCTTTCTACCCGATTTTCCGTCAATGATTGGGGCCTTTACACTATTTTATTGGAGTTGAGGTCATTCCTACTTCCACTGGTTTATTTATCACCCAACACAAATACATTCGAGACCTCTTGGACTGCACTCACATGTCTGGTGCAAAAGAGGGCAACACCCCTTTATATAATATACTATTGGCTCTCTTGTTCTTCATGATAGATCTTCACCGGCCAATCCAACTGAATTTCGTATCAGGAACAAGAGTTGCGACTATATTCTTGGGATGAATAACCACATAAAGCATTTTTGGATTTGTGGCTCATACAAATCCAAAAAAAAGCTAAGCCTTCTGTATTTAAATATTTTCCCCACAATTGTATGCTATTACTTGGGCAAAAAGACAATATTAAATACTATTACCTGGGCTAAAAGGCAATACTAATTTTTGCCAAAGAATTAGTATGTAATGGTATGAGTAAATTTTTTTTTTTTTTTTTGGATGCGTATATAATGGTAGGAGTAATTGTTATTATTATTTCATAATATTTGACAACAGGAACATGGTATAATTTGGACATACTTTTTGGATCAATGAATGCAATAGATTAATACAGTTTCATTTAGTTTACATTGTGCTTCCCCCCACACCCCTCCTTTGTAAGGTTTTATTACAGTGTCTTGAGGATTATTGAAATATGATCCAATGAAATATTGCTATATCTCAGGTTCTGAATCTTCTAGAATGATTTTCTTATTTTTTAAAGGTAATCTTCTAGAATGATTTGTTTTTCGAGGACCACGTAAAAACTGTGATTTAATGGTGTAAACTATTGTAAAATATTTTGAAGTTAAGATATTGGAAACAAATGCAGTGCTTGAGAGAACTAGTGCCAGGTCATACTTCTGAAGCCCACAAGACCAGGTGTTGACCTTGTACAATTGGATCAGTGTAAATTTTGTGATACTCCTCATGAGCAATGCAAGCATGCTCTCATGAACTGCCTTTCATTTTCTTAAATGGGTTCTTTTTTTGCCTTTCTTCCTTTCTTCTTCATTGTCTTCTTCCCGAAAGGGAGATGGAGGGGGAGGGTAGTTTATAGTTAAGTTGTTGTTATTTATTTATTTATGCGGCCTTTCAACCACCAACTTCCCTTGAAACCATTTTCTGTTAATTAATACATTTGCATTATTCAGGGGGAGTACTTTATGAGACCATAGGTGTATTCCTCGTTGCTTTAGTTGGTTATAGAATCAAAATTGATTTGTCATACACATGATGTTCTGGCAAAGAGTGATTGAGCAAAGACTAATGGATGAAGAGTAATACACACAAACCGACAAATTACCTGATTATACAAGATGAATGAAACTAAGACATTGGATGTATTCAATTGGGGTCCAGATGATGTCATCTTATCTCTTTTAGTTCCATTCACTTCTTGCGGCTAACTCTTCAGTCTCCTTAGTAACACAAAATATCATTCTGCATATATGAAACAAGGATATCAAAAACATAAAGTTGGTCTATGCTAGGTAGATCAATCATGGAAGACAATTTTTAACTTGGTGATCGATGGAAGGAGTTTATATGTATATTACCTGAATACATTGGTGCTATTTAAAATATAGACGAAAGAGTTTTTGATAGTATGGAAGTAACTGAAGGAAATGCAACCACTGGATTGAATTTTAACCACAATGTGTTTGTTTCAGAGGTTGCCATGAAGCCCAAATCTTTTTACTAGGGGTGGCGAGACTTTTAGTAGGGATTTTTGTAAGTTAAAACTTAAAAAGAGAACCTTCAAGAATAATAAGGTTTTAGTAGGAGTATAAATGAGGACATGGACAATATTGATTGGGTGAAGAGATACGCCAATTGGGTTGGTGATTCATTAGAACAGGAAGATTGAAGGGAATGCTACCCATAAATTAAGAGTACTATGGATGAGGTGGAGTAGTGTTTCTAGGTGTTGTACGATCATTTATTACATGTCATATGAGATGCAAGATTCTATAGACACAATTATAGGCTTATCCGTGCTTCATTTTACACTTGTTTATTGCTGTTTGACAGTGAAAACAATTGCATAGAATAAGCAGAACTAGGGAAAATAGAAGTATCAGGAGATAAATGACTAGCCGTACAGAAAAAGGGTAAATTTGAGACGAATGTAGTTGTTAAAATCTTTCTAGTTGATCCTGGTATATTGATTTCTAGTATGTTTGGTTGGAGGGAATGATTGAGGAGGGATGGATGAGAGGGGGAATAGAAGAATCTTTTCGTGTTTTGGTTGCAGGGAAGGGAAGAGAGGGAGGAAGTAAGGAGGCATCCCTTTTGGCTTTGTTTTTTTCTACCCGTCCAAATTTGTGGGAAAGAGAGGAGAAAAAAAGAAAGGATAACTACCAACAAATATGTAATTTCTATTTTTAACCTTCCCAAAATTTTTAAATAAATACTTACATTTTATAATTGTATATATATATATATCTTTGATAAGTTACATTTTATAATTGTATATAGTGAGGGTGTATTAGTAAAAAGACTAAAAAACTATCTTTCCCTTGATTCCAACAAAAAAAGAAAAAGAAAAAAAGAAGTGTTACTCCATCCATTTTTTCTACTATCTACTCCATTCAATGAAACAAAAAGTGAGGGAGACAGCTTCCCTTCATTAGGGATGCCTTTTCCATCCCTCCCCCTCTCCCTTCCATCCATTTTCCCATCCCTCCAGTTCCAACCAAACAGAGCATTCCATTCTCTTCAACACAAATTACTAGTTGGACCCCATCTTGTAAAGAACATTGATAAATCAATGCTATTTAAATAGAAATCGCAGAATATGCAACTTGGAAACGATTCTTTTGATTTGATAGCGTGTCTAAAATAAGCTCTCTAGGAAGACCTTATGCCAAGCATGCATCACAAGCCTACGGGCAACGATTGGACATCTCTTTATTGGTTTTCAATGGGCAACGATCATTTCCTCTCTACGAAACCATTTTTCTCTGAAGGTCCTACTTGCTAAGAAAATATTTTGAATCCATTTTTTTAAAGGAGTTTTAAGAGGTTTTCTTCTTTGACCTTAGAGGTGAGTAATTTTTTGAAGATGTTTTTATTTTAAAATGCTGGCTAAGCGAAAGGGGAAGTAATGATCTCATACAGATGTTGTAGCCTATTAGATGATTGTAAGGGAGGTAAGCTAGAATGCATTTAAGTGTAATTGTTACATATTGCATATTTTGCTGGTTCTATAGATAGATCATTAGTTTATTGGAACTCACTAAAATGTTTTGGATTGTTTACATGTTCTAGAAACCATTAGAAATTTGCTCTAAAGTAATTTAGATTAAATGAAAAGAGATAGTAATGCAGTGAGAATTGTCCATCCAAAATATATGTAGATTATTCTAACACCATGCTTTAGCTTTTAATTTGATTAATATACATTTGCTATGATGATGAAATTGATTGGTAGTACCGGTTAGGGCATAAAAGACTAGGGTTACTTTGTTTGGAAAAGAAAGTTGACAATATTAATGGAATTTTTTTGATAAGTACAAAGAAGAATTAAAGAGATTATTAGTGAATATTGCAAGTACCTTACCTGCTAGAAAATGTGATCATGTCACTAAAAAAGGCACGTGTAGTACTACTCTTTATGATTATAGTCATAAAGAAACTAGGATATCAATTCACAACGCATAACCTGATTTGTTAACAATGGATATGAATGTGTGGATGAGAAAGCTATCAACCTTGAAGGCGCTAAATCAGATGGAGAAAAGCTGTAGGGATCAATTAAATGCATATTTGGCCCTGAACTTCTGCCAAAAAGATGTAGCTGGTCTCAAGTTAGGATATAGGCCTTTAGGGTTGAGATTCGATGAAGATGGTAATGATAGTTTTTGCGTCAATGTGTATAAATTTGAAAATAAGTGTGGTTCATCATTGCAATTAAATATGAATCGTAATACCCCCCCAAAAAGAAAGATATAGGCTTTTAGAGTTGAGATTTGATGAAGATGGTAATAATAGTTTTTGCATCAAGGCATATAAAGTTGAAAAATAAGTGGTTCATCCTTGCAATTAAATATGATTCGTAATACCCAAAAAAAAAAAAAAATAATTCTAATACATGGATTTGAAAGCAGAAAAGAGGTGAAATAATGTATGGAACTGTACTTGGTATTGCAAAATTACATATTAATTTGAGATTATATGATATAACTTGATAAACTTCTATTTACGGTTTTGAAAATGGGTTTTGGCTCAAGGGTACTCACAAGAAGGTGAAATTTTAGATGTGTCCCTTGTAGGTTATAAAAGAATCTTGTTTTATTCTTGTCATGTTGATGTTGGAAGTGTGTTTGTACACGCAATTTGTTTGTGTTACAATGGAGGTTCATTAACAAACCTCCCCCACCCAAGTGGAAGGGAAAAATAAATCATAAATGAAGATGCTGAGGGCTGTTTGGAACATAATATGTGCAACTTCTTTCCTTATATCAGGACTGCCAGCGGAGACATCCATCGAGAGGTTTGTGACAATTGGTGCATACAGTCTTCTGCGGTCTTGCACGATTGAGCCAGAGTGCATTATTGGACAGCATTCCATCCTTATGGAAGGTTCTTTGGTGGAGACCCATTCTATCCTTGAAGCTGGGTCAGTGGTTCCCCCAGGGAGGAGGATTCCAACAGGTGAACTTTGGGCAGGTAACCCTGCTAGGTTTGTGAGGACCTTGACGCATGAAGAGACCTTGGAGATCCCTAAACTCGCTGTTGCAATTAACGATCTGAGCAAAAGCCATTTCTTTGAGTTCCTCCCTTACTCAACGGTATATTTGGAGGTTGAGAAAATGAAGAAGTCCTTGGGGATTTCGATTTGATAATCTCGTTTTCATGTCCATGTGTATCTGTCAATGAAGTTCTTGAAAGAAAATAAGCAAATGTACAACTCAAGAGGTAAGCCTTTGAGTTCCTTGTTTCTTGTATGTGATCTTAATAGCCTAGCCTATTAACTGGGTTGCAAGCTCAGTTAGCGGGATGTACGTGTGTGTCTATCTCTGGTTTATTCATTTTGTAGGGCATTTTTTTTTTTTAACTTCTTCATGGGTTGAACTTGAAGATGTGCATTTAAATGGCTGTAATGGTGAATCAGGACTCGTGTTGCTGAACACAATAACTTAAGTATTTGATTGTGTCTGCAATATACGATATTTATACAAATGAAACACATAGGGAACGTAGCAACCACAAAGAGCTTAGCCTAGTGGTATCTCTTCTCCGACAAAGAGCTTAGTCTAGCGGTATCTATTCTCCTTTTCAAATGGAAGGTTGAGGTTTGAGTCTCCAATGGGACAATTGGGTGTGTCTTTGAACTCTTATTTAAAGAAAGGGGATGTTGGTAATGTGTGAGATTTTTGGTATACATTATTATGTGTTATTGGTTCATTGCCTAGTCTTGGAAGTATGGAGGGGTTGGAGGACTTCTATTAATCTACTTTTCTGGCGATTTGCACCAACCAAATTTGGCTACCCTATTAAACAAGACAATTCTTGGGGTGCAGCCAGTTGTACCTTTATGTTGTACAGTACATTGTTTATGCACACGAGTATTCTGCTAGTTGTACCAAATTTCAATTTTGCTTTGTTTAGAAGAGAGAAGAAGAATATAATTAGGGAAAATTATTGCTCAGTCTTACTTTTGCACCCTAAAGACAAGTAATTCTATTTTTTATTTTTTATTTTTATAAGTACTATAATATCTCTATTACCTTTTTCATTAATTGCTGTGGAGATTTTCCCTTATTGCCCCTCTTCTTAGGTACGGGTTTTCACATCTTATTCTTCACACATCTTCTTGTACAATCATCCACAGTTTTTGCATAATTTTATGTTTTTGATTTAGGATTTAATGATTGTATGTAGATTTTGACCATCATTGCAGAATTTTAAATTTGGGTTCCTACCATCATTGCAGAATTTTAAATTTGGGTTTCTATTTTTCTTTCATTTGTAAAAGATAATGATTTTTATTTGTATTCATCACCAAACAATGCTTGTGGGATGCCAATTAATATGAGATGCGAACAATAAACAGTGATATATCATATATGTAGATTTTCCACATTAAATCTGATTCTAGTTAATGAATTTGACGGTGAGGATGGAAGGAAGAAAATTGATGGATTTTGTATCGTATAAAGGGCAATACAGAAAAACAAGAAATTTTAATTCCAAGTGTTAATTACCACATTTAAACCTGATTTGTGGTTACGGATTTGAGAGTGAGATCGGAAGGGAATAAAAAACAAGAAAACGTGAGTTTCGTACTTTATTACTAAAGGGCAATATTGGATAAAAAGTTCAATAAAGGCCAAATTTGAGCTTATTTAAAAATAGATGTTTCTGTTCCTATTAAAAATTTTATAGGACTTATTTGTATTTAGGGTGCAAAAGTAGGGTTAGTCTTTAATTTTTTCATATAATTATCCACTTGGCAACCAAGGGCGGAGGGAGGAGTGGGCGAAGGTGGGCTTCAACCCACCCCAACTATACTACTTTTAGCCCAGCCCAAAAAAAAAAAAATTTAGCCTACCCAAAATTAGTCCAATCCTTAATTAGCCCACTTCAATTAACAATTCTGGATCCGCCCTTGTTGGCAATGCTAACAAATGTATATTAACATCGTTTTACATTGGTTAGGTAAGTATTCTACTCAAAGGAAGAGGGGTTACAACGTTTTACTAATTGCTATGAATATTTATAAGTTGTCCTTTTTTTTCCTTGCAACCAAACATAAGTCAAAAAAGATTGGCCAAATATTTTTAATTTTTATTTCTTGGTGTTTGACAAAAGTTTAAATTGAGGTTGGGGTCGAGTCCATCGAGCAGAGCGTATTAAATAACTCGTTAAAAATTAATATATAAACTATTTTTATTAAATTAATTTTTTTTTTTATAAATATTTTACGACAATCAAATATCAAAAAATAAAAAAATATATATTTTAAAAAATATTTCACAACGAATGAAGCCATATTAGAAACTATTTAATGCAGAACTCTCAACCATTTGCTTCCACATTTGTTATTGGATTTTGCGTCACACACTATCATTAGTGACACCATTATTGCCAAAACTTTGTCAACCACCATCAACTATGCAATTGTGGGAGGAACAGTTCAAGTGTCTAATGATACAAACACTTCCTATTTATCAAATAACTCTAATGAAAATGTTTATGATAATATAAACATATATAATTATAAAAGATTATATGACAAGCATGACCACCTCTATTTGTACCCAAATGAAGTTCAATAACTCTAGATTACAACTAGCACTTACATTGGGCGGTTCAAATATTGTTATAATAATAATTATTATTATCATCATCATCAATTAACCTAACAAAATTATATTAATATTATTGTCATTATCATGATCAGAAATTCAGCATCATGATGGCACAAATTTCTAACCAGGCCACCACACCATTAAAGAGATGTGGAGCACTATGAGCCCGTTTATGGGTTGCCACTTCAAGCACTTAGTCTAATCAAACCCTTCTTATTTATTTATTTTTAAAGAAAAAAAGTTTTTGATCAAGTCAAATTATGTATTAGTACATATTTTAATGCACTTGATATATTATTTCAATACTAATATTACAAAAACAACGGAAAATGAGACACTTGATATTTATCTTGGTACAAAATAGGTTAGTATAAGATGATGATTATTATTATTATTATTATTATTATTATTATTATGTCTGAAAAAACAAATTTAGAACATATAGTTGAATATAGTATTTACAATCCAAGTTTTCATATATATAAAATATTAGTGTTAAAAAACATATATAGAATATTAGAATTCCAAATATATATATATCAGATATAGTTGCAATTAACCTTTTTCCCTCCGTTATCTTGTTTTTACTATATGAGAAAGCTTTTACACAACCCAATATGTTTAAAAAGTTTTTTTTTTTTTTTTTTTTTAATTGAGTATAGGGGAGGATGGAGATTCCTCTCGAAAAAGAGTGGACTCCACACATAGAGTGAATCCCTATACTTATAGGATGATTTTCACTTTTTAATGTACATGAGAGGATCCAAATTCGTACACATAAAGAGTATTACACGTGAACGGGCCTTAAATGTTTTATATATCTATATTAAAATTAATAAAATTAAGTAAAAAGATTATAAATCTATTAGAAGCATTGACCAAGCAAAATGAAAAATGGAAATACTATTGAAGAAAGGGACTTTATTATGCAATTATGTTAATGTCATCAACCACTACGTGTGTTGATGAATACCTAATGGATAGAAAAAAACAGGAAGAAAGAAAGAAAAACTTCATACAGATTGTCATTCTGCCAAATGAAGCAAAAGCTTGACTTCTCAACCATTTTCTTTTCTCTTCTCTTGTATATATATATTCTCCCTATATATCAATCCTTTTACCAAGAGGGCAAACAATGCATTATTGCCAATACATCTCTCTCTCTGTGTGCGTGTGTGTGTGGTGGATCATGACACAACAATTTGAACTTGTAAGAGCTCTTAATTCATGTGAAGGTATACATATAAGAGGTGAATGTGTAGATTTTTAATTTTCTTTCCTTTTATCAATAATTTTCATGTTTTAATGTGACTGCAAAGAAAGAGATGATGTTGGGATGGCTCAATCAAATCAAATCGCCCAAGGTTTAATTGGGTCATTTATTTTGATTGAGCCGTGCCAATATCATTCGTATTGGTTATTATATATTAATGTTACGTTTGTACATATCGAATCTGTGTCATAGAATTGGAATTGAAGTAAATTTATTTTTTAAGCTAGCTTGAACTAAATTTCCTTTGATCAATTTCAAGTCACCGATTCGATATCTTTTGTACATATCGAAATGGTGTTTTAGAATTGAAATTGAAGAGAATTTATTTTTGAGCTTGAACTAAATTTTCTTGGATCAATTTCAAATCGCCAGTTCAATACTTTTTTCTAGGTGGCGAACTCCCAATCATATCAGAATCCTCATTCTTATTGATGCATGTTCAGAATAAGAATCAGTGAAGAATAGGACTGCACTGGCCATTTGAGATCTTGGTTTTAGAGTGTGCTATTTATTGGTGATAAAATTAGAAGAAGAATAATCATTTACTTCTTTGTAATGTTATTTTAGTGATTTATGGAAAGCACATTTTCGGAGCTGTTATGATTGCTTTCACATATCATCTAAGCACTCATTTAAATAGCTCCATATATGATATGCCTTAGCAAAAATCATGGTGTTGTGAAAAATGATAAGTACTATGTCTATTACAGTCCTCATCTTTTGTGTGTGTGTGTGTGTGTGTGTTTTTTTTTTTTTTTTGGTCTTTCTATGTTGTTTGATCTTTGGTGAGTTAGCTGAAAAGAAATTGAAATCCCTTTACCTGCTTTCATTATATGGATCAATCATGTCTCATTTGTTGTTGATCAAAATCTTCTTGAATGTATTTGTTTTTAAAGGTAATGGAAGTCTTCTTGAATGTAATTGAAGCTGTTCATATATCTTCAAACAACCTTATCTTTCTTTGAATCATCCTGTTCACTCCTCCATCACACACACACACACACACACACCATTCTCATCTCTTGTCAATGCTCATATGGCATTCCATACCTCGTTCCAATTGAAGAATCATTGGTCCCAAAAAAAAACAGAAAAAAAAAGGTGATAATAGTCCGAATTCGGACCCTTCTACAAACGCACAGCCAGTGCGAATCCCACCAATCAGAATTCAAATTCCATAATCCTCTATGGAGAGAACTACACCGTGCTGTAGTATCTGTTTTCAACACGTTAAATCTATCAATTTTTTGCGAGTTCTAATATGTTAAGAATAAATTAATTGTGCACACTTACAGCAGAGAACCTGCTACAACAGAGGATCCAGACGCCACAATCACGACTACAGACATTTTTGGTTAGAAGTCAAAAAGTACTGCTGAAGTTCAGGGTGGGCTTTTGTCATAGATAGTCTTTTATCAACTAAACAGCTGCAAAGGGTGTTAGGAGATGATCTCTGACTATATGGCACACTTGACAACTAGGTGAAGTTCACCGATTATGTCCATTCAATTATCTCACCATAAGAAAGTATATATTCAGGTAAGAGCAATACATTTCATTATGCACAAAAGTGTTTGTTTTCCTGCACTAGGCAGTCCAAGCATTTTATAGTTTTATATAGAAAACTAGCAGAAAACATAACTACCTAGTATAACAAACAACAGGGGAAAGAACAACCATAAAGAAGTGAAATACTTGTACAAACTTGAGGATAATTTGACAATCTTTGAAATAAAGACATGAGTTTCCTTCAAATCTTCGGAAACAAAAGCCAGAATCAACAAAGAACGACCGGCACTATCTTTACTATTCCCAGTAAAAGGGAAGTGCGTGTGGGGTTTCATTATCAGAGGAGGAATCAGGCCATACGTGAAACATTCCCGTATCACTAGCAGTGGAAACATGAGCAGAATTCATAGGTTCTAGATTGTTATAATGAAGGCTCGGAACTGAGGGATGTGGCGCTGGGATTTGAGTGGGCGGTACCATGTGGCTCAAACTGATTCCGGATGTCTGTGTCGTTGGCGATGACAGAAGAGAGAGAGCACAATCTGAGTTGAGGACTTGAGTTGATAGACGATCACAGAACATTTCGTGGCGGCTATCCCTGCCACTTTCTGATGAAGCAATGGTTTGGAGAAGTGGCTGGCATACTGAAGCTTCTGGAACTGTTTGGCTGTTGAGCGCATGGGAAGTGCTGTGCAGAAAACTGAATTGTTTCTCTCCTTTGTAGCTGCAAGAGGAGGATCCGGGGAATAGGTTTTGTTTGTCAAGTAGGTGTAACTGTGGAAACTGGTTATAGAGCTTATTATCATCTTGTTCAGCTTTGACAACTCCAGCCAAGACGGGGTTCGCCATAGCAGTTGTTGGATAGACTTGTGGAGCAGAGAATGGAAACAATCTGCTAGCTGAAAGGAGTGCATATAGCATTAATTTGAATAGAAAGTGAGGAAGAAGAGTATGTCAGCATAATATGTATTCAGTCTTATTAGTTTCCTCCGATCATTAGATCAATCACACCAAACTTGAGACTTCTAACATATGTTTGAGACAGCAAAAAATGATAAATAGAATAAACTTAGACTTAAAACTAACTGGATCTATCTTGCATTTGGAGCAACTCCAGCAGCTACATAAACACAGAGAGAGATCTTATCAAACCCGATCATGAAAAACTGCAGGGTTACACTAAAAAAATTGTTTTAGATCATGTTCAGTTCAGTGAATCCAAATAATTTTGAAGTTGAAGTAAATTTCTAAAATTAGGTGAGACCTACAACTGGCGAAAGCTGAAGAGTGCCATCAAGAAGATTACGGGAGAAGTAAGCAAAGTTACAAATTGAGTCAAATATTCTAATTATCACCATTTTCCCTTCGGAAATAACTGTTGAAGCTAGAAATTCAGTAGTATACTCTAACCATCACCATTTGAAGAAAAGAAATAAAGATTATTAGGCAAGTTGATGAAGCATTTAGCAGATTAGATTATTGATTCAAAGAGATAAGGGGAAGTAGTTTTTATTTTTATTTTATTTATTAATTTTTTGGGGAATGAGGAACCATTCCAACTAAGTGCCCTTTGGCAACATAAACCCTGGTTATCCACAATTACATGTAAACCGCGAATATTGCTTAAACGAGGACTCAGACTTGAAAGTTCAAGATAGTAATCCTGAGACCTTAACAAGCAAGTTATGACCATCGACAAGCAAGTCGATGAAACATTTGGCAGACTAAATTGTTCACTAAAGAGTTTGTGAAGGAAATATTTACTCAAAAAAAGTGTGTTTGTATTTGTATCCATGCATACATGTGCTTGTGTGTCCATAAATATGGTGCATTATAACTGAATTTGAATTCATTTCAAACCATGTTACAGTAACCAAAAATGGGTTTAAAATCTGATGGGATACCAGGGAAAAGTCTACGTTCAAGTAGAAATTATTTAACTGATGATCCAAACCTTGGTAATTGGACACAAAGCTTCCAGGACGTGACAGGGGTTCTGGCTGAGGCTTCCTTCGCCGACGATTATGTCCATCTAGACGTTTCCTGCAGCTTCTCTTTCCATCATCAAATTCCTCTAGTGAATGAAACCTATAAAAGAGTGATGGAATAATTGAGGAAATTTAGTCTAGTCAAAAAACGCCTGAGCAGAAGACAAGGATTTAAGGCTGGGGAGTATGAACAGCTCAGTGTTTACATAGATATTAATTGAATTTAAATAAGCAGTCAATATATCTCATTAAAAAGAACAATGTAAATAAGGGTCCAGTCTTAAATTTATAGCTCTACTTATGGAATCCACTTCCTCGGATAATTTCAGCTTTCAATGTCAGTGCTGTTGATTCCAAGATGGAAAAATATGGAATACATAATAAAACATACCAGAGGAGGAGCATATGGTGGACAAACCGTCAAAATCTTATTAAGGGTTGAGAGACGGAAGTTTTCAGAATTATGATTTCGGCATTGCTTTCAGTCCTTGAACAAACTAAGACATGGTTTCTAAAATTTGAAGTTAATAAAATTTAGTATAACAGAAACTGATCGGAATATCAAATTAACATGAAAGCGAAAAATGTCTTGAAATATTCAATGAAGTTAATACCGTTTGGCCAAACCTGTTTGCAATTTTTTTCAGCCAAAATTGGCCCAACTGAAAGCGACAAGTAATCTATAGATACTTGTGGATGTTGAGAATATTTTTGTCCAAGGGAAAGCTATTGCAAGGATGGTGGCAAAGTTCAGCACAATTCTCTGACAACTCCTGAGTAGCAAGAGAAACCTATGTTCTTGAATCAGGTTAATTCGGGGGAAGAACTGCAGCAGGAAATAATATTTCAAAAGGATTCAATGGTTTTTTCTCCGCCACCAGTACAACTACAATTGATCACCATGATTGTTCTCATACCACTCGTTACAACCATTTCCAAGGTAAAAAGGGTAAAAAAAAGTTGATAATAATATACCATCCAGTTCAGATTTCATAACTAACTGTTAAGTTCTAGGCGCGTACAAGTAATATTGAGTAGAAAAGGTATGATTCGTGACAACACAAAGTAACTCTTCAAGGAGACACGCGAGAGACCTAAAAGAAGTTTAACACATTGTGAAAGTACAAAAAGTTATTTATCCATATAGTTCAGAACTAGCTAATTCTTTTCTGGTGCTAGCTTTCAGCTCATCATTGTTACAATCTCATAAAACAGACAAAGTGATCATAAATGAGAGAAAAACAAAAATGTGCTCTTTATGCACATAACATAACTTTTTTTGTGTTGAACATAAACTTCCATCGTAACAGTGTGATAATCGACCTAAATGTTAAAAATTCTTCTTTAACTCTAATAGTTATCATCGCATTAAGGGACCTTACCAAACCATCCAATAATTCACAGACTGCTCTAATTTGATGCTTAAGATAACGAATTATCACCGATGTCACAAGCCTCTCTCCATAAATGTAATGCGTAACAGTGTGATAATCGACCTAAATGTTAAAAATTCTTCTTTAACTCTAATAGTTATCATCGCATTAAGGGACCTTACCAAACCATCCAATAATTCACAGACTGCTCTAATTTGATGCTTAAGATAACGAATTATCACCGATGTCACAAGCCTCTCTCCATAAATGTAATGCCGATTATTTGGTAGATAACAAAAACAGTCATGGTTGAACTTATTCACATGTAGTGCACTAAGCAAATGAAGCTATGAAAAGAAAATTAAATACCATCAACCAGAACAAATAATAGAAATTCGGTTTACATGAGAAAAAAACAAAAATTGCAAGAATCAACATTGTATATTATTTTGGAATCAAATTCAAGTAATAATTAATTCCCTACAAACATAAAACACCAAATCAAAATATATTCTTGCTTACCAGATACACCAACACCACAATTCATACCTGCTGCACTGCTGGCAGAACCGTTGTTTGTGACCGCGGATTGTAACCTCTGCAGTCTTGGAATGGAGCTCACAGACCTTATGCCGTCTATGGTACTCCCTGCAACTACTAAGGTCTGCATTACACCCGTCCACGAGGCACGACGCAGTCTGGATCCCATTATTAACTGCTCGTGCCCTCTTCGAAGAACCGGAAGGTGACAATGCCATTTTGGAACCACTAGGCCCTTTCAAACTATCCCCAGTCTCATTTCCCAAATCAGCCACCTGACCAAGCTTCAAATCTACTGAAAAATCCCCCATAATCCCCTGTTCTTGAAAGCTACTTGACTCGCTAACCGGATTGATATTAGGATTAGTTGCTTGTTGAAATTCAGTTAAATCCCAAGAAGGTGCCTTCAAATTCCAATCCATATATCTATAACTCAAAACCCTATAACCCCAAATTAGCTAATCTTCACTTCCACTACTTAATCACACTTATATGAGAACATACTTCACATTTGAATCAAAACAAACAAGTAACAACCAGTCAAGAACAACCAAATTTTGTACCAAGTGGACCTGGTAATTGAAAAAGAAACAATTAATAACAAAAAAATGAAAACAACGAACCAATTCATATAAATATTAATTGGGTAGCTAGAAAATGTTAAATTTCAAATAAAATCTACAAGATAGATGTAAATCATGCATGAATAAATAAGAAAAAAAGGTAGAGAAAAGCTATAACTCCATATGGGCATCTAAAAGCACATTTCAATTTACCCAAAAATAGAAAAATAAAAATAAAAAATCAAATAAAAAAATGCAAGAAACCCAAATTAGAGAGACATAACTACCCAGCAGTGAAGTTGCACAGACAACACCTAGAAAATTGGAAGCTGATACAGGAAGAAAAACAAGTACTAACAAGAAGGGATTAATTATATGTAGAGAGAGAGAGAGAGAGAGAGAGAAATGGTACTTACAGTTGAGGACAAATGTGGCAGAAGAAAACTGGCTTGAGCTTTCCAGCCATTCATTCCCTGACATGGATTCCATTTAAAATAATTTAAAGAGAACAGTTAAGGGAAAAAGAAAACCAAAATAAAAAAGCTGAGGGGTGTAGGATAAGAATAGTCACTACAAGTATCTTTTAGAGAACACCATTGTGGAGTGCTCATTGTGATTTGTGCATATATATTATAGTATATACAAGAAAAATAATGGGGACACAATAATGTCTTTAAGTGGGAAGATAGAGTACAGCTAAAAGTTTCCAAAAAAAGAAAAAACAAGCTAGATTTTTATGGTGCATATATGTATATATATAATATATACATTTTTTATTATTTATTTTTAATTATTGGTTAGGCTTTGTTTGAAAGTTGCAAGTTGTTTTGAAAGTTGCAAGTTGATAAAGAAATGATAATAGGGACAGGTGGTGTGTTCCTTTTTAACTTTACAGACCAAGAAAAAAAAGTACACAAAGTATGGACTAGTGATAAAGACAAAGCATGTGGCTTTGTGTTTCACATTTGATGGCATGTTTTTTTATTTTGGGCATCTTTCAGTTTGAAATGTTGAATATTTGGTGTCACCCTACTTTAGTATCAAAGATTGGAAAAATTGCATTAGAAAATTTGGAGCATAAAGATGTGAGTTTAGCCTATTTTAGTCACATATTATTATATGTTGACAATGATTATGGTGAGAACTATATGGAAAAATTCACTGAGATTAGGACAAATGATTTTGAAGGGTGGGTCCATTTAAATCCGAGTTCGATATGAAAAAATTCACTCCAATTAGAGGACAAAAAATCAAGTGATTTGAGATTTGTGAGTTGGGATTCAAATGTCATCTTATAATCCAGTAGTAATTTATGGACAAGATTCATATTGGAGAATTGTCTATGATCAACTAAACAAATCATAAATATAAAATGAGCTAAGATCCTTTCAAATTTTAAATTATATTGGCTTTGGGCTTTTATAAGTAAGATACTATTCTAGAAGAGTTAGAATTCTAACCTTGTGTCAGGATTTACAGGCCAAAGAATAATCTCATGTAGGCAGTTTCTATAGGGCATAGGCCTCCCAAAAGGTAACGGAGGCATGCAAAGGTTTTCTCAAGCCGGACGGAGATTGGCCTTTGAGTGCAAAGGCAGAGAGAAGCTTGACTACAAGGCCCACCTATTGAGCAAGGACAAAAGTTGGCCTTAGTGATCCGACAGTGCCAAGTGGAAGGGTCGTTGCTCAACGCATAAAAATTACTATAGGAATAACAGACTTATCTTTCCCAAGAGCTCACATCGACGACAGGGCATGCCAAATCTTTTAGAAATGTACATTCTCAATTTATATTAAAATTCAAATTAAAATTACATTCTAAATCAAATAAATATAATTTGGATTCAATCAAGTCTAGGGTCAAATCCAATCAATTTTATGCTTTTTAAAGGTATATTACAGTAGTAAAATTAAGGATATTATTAATTATGAGAAAAAAAATGTTAATACTTCTCATGCTTTTATAATTAGGGAAGGAAAAAAGTTAGAAGTATATCAGTAACTTTTCATCTTGTTAGGTCAATAATATTGAAACTGATTTTATCAAAATTATTTTAATAATATATCTAAAAGAAGAATTCAAGTTGAAGGTCTTATAACAGGCACATCTTATGTCAGAAATATACCAATGGTTGTATAGTCTAGTGATACTTCATTACCTTTTAAAATAGAAGGTTAAGAGTTCAAGTCTTTATAAAATCAAGCAGGTGTAAGAGTGTATTTCATGTCTTAAAAAAAAAAATATCGAAATACCCTTAATACTTGATTATCATAAATTAAAAAAATATAAAAAAAAAGAAAAAGAAAAAGAAAAAGAAAAAAAGTAGGGACGACTGGTAATGTGTTGATCTTATCCATATAGTCCCATCACTATTGCTTTACATTTCCTTTGAATCAACACTAACCAACACAAGGGGAAAAAAGTGCTCATAGTTTCAATTATTGGTAGTTGGTACTGATCAGGTGATTCAGAATCCTAAGTATGAAGCTGAATTTTAGACCCATCCATCTAATGAATGTAAAATTGTAATGCCAATAATATCCTAAGTATGAAGCTGAATTTTAGACCCATCCATCTAATGAATGTATAATTGTAATGCCAATAATAAAAGGAACAAGTAAAGGAATTCAGAGTTCTCTATTATTTGGGCTGGCCCACATTAATCCTAGGTTCAATTCTAGGACCCAAAGTTTGGTTGGGCTTAGAAGACTTCAATAGTTCTTCGGTTTGATATTTCAACGTTTGTCGGTCCTTACTCCTGACTTTGGGGCCCTTACCCAAATTTAAGTAAAATCTCAAAATTACCCCTACAGTCCCATTCAATTTTTTTAAACATACTTCAGATGGATTCTTGAGACAAAAAGTAATTTTCATAGACTTGGAAAATAAAACAGCATTATCAGTGAGTTTCTTGATTGTTCCGATGAGATGTCTTTTTGCGCTTTTTTGGGATTCCTTAATCAATGGTTTGCGTTTCCTTTGAAATGATTTAAGTTACTTTTGAACCTTACTTATTGTAACTTGAGATGAGCTTTACTAGCTACTATTACTCTTTACTCCTTAGTTGCTTTAGATGGACAACATTTGGAATATTAGAGGAAGCTGTCTTTTGCATACTTTTACATGGTTTCATGTTGACAAAAGCTTTAAAATTTTGTTTTGCTTCAACCTTAGCGTCAGGGACCAACCTAAAAAATTATGTGAGATGGGAGCAATATTCAATGATGGGATTTTTTAATAATTTCAGTGGGGGTAATAGTGAGATTCTATAGGTATACAAAATTAGTAGGGTATAATACTAAAAAATAAAAATAATAAAATAGTGGGGGCAATTGATGAAATGAATTTTTTTTATTTTTTTATTTTATTTTTTTAAAGGTGAATTGTATATAATGTATGATATTTAAAGGTTGACCAACAAGTTCCCAAATGAAGAGGAATGGCAATACCATGGTTTCATTTGAACCAACTTAATACTCGTAGTCTTGATTGACATTTGACCATCCAGATTAAGAGGCAAGGTTTGGAACTTCGATGTTAGCTCTTCGTTATCTGAAATTGAAGGTGGCAAAGTTTGACACGATCTGTCAACATGACACGTATACGACATGAGTTAAATAGGTGTTGAGTTTATTATAAACGGGTTCGTGTCTTAAGCGGGTTGACATGATTAATTCGTTTAGTTAATCGTGTCGTGTTCAGATTTTGGGGTTCAATCCGTGTAACCTGTTTATACTCGTTTAATTAAACGTGTTACTCGTGAACCTGTCTAACCCATTACCTATTTTAACCCGATTAATATGGGACATTTTGATCATTTCATGTTTACATAAGTAATCCTAATTCTTAAAGCACGGTCCAACACTCCAAGTCCATTACGCCTCTTATTCTCTTTAATCTCTCCTCTTTCTATGCCGCGCCTCAGTGTGACTCTTTCTCTCTCTCGTCCCTAACCAGACAAGTACTCCATATCTCAGATTCTCAATCTCTCAAATCCACACCACACTTTAAGCGACCAGAAGGAGAATCGAAGATCAACAATCTTGATCACTAGACTTTGAGCGACTAGAAGAAGATTCGAAGAACACAAATTTCGCATGGTCTAAGTAATTTTTTTCTAATTCATTTATTTATTTTTTTTGTCCTTTTTCCCTTTGTTTTGTGCGTTTATGTCTGTGATCATGATTTAATTGTGCTATTGGTTGATAAATATTTGATTATGTGTATTTGCTAAACAAATCTTTGTGGCCACTTGATTTTAAACCTTTCAAATCTATCACCGTAATTCAGGAACCCTTCAGATTTATCACCGTAACCTTTCAGACCGATTTTTAGTTTTTTTATGGGCGTTATAACATAAACTTTGAATGTTTAAATTAATTTCTCTTCATTCTTTATTTTCCAGTTCCTTCCACTCCCTTCAGTTGTTGGATTTTATTTGGTTCGTTTTTTTTTTTTTACAAAGAAGAGTCTGCCATCATACTTTGCCTTTGTTATGGTCAGGAGCTTGATGGTCTTTCTCTCATTTTTTTTTTTTGGTTTGTAATACTTAGATGGATTCTGAACATGTTTCCATGAGACTTGACGAAAGTGAATCAGAAAATGATCTTGATTTGATTGACCTTAAAATAGATCATAATCAAAATACAAATGTGCAACTGAAAAAGAAACAAACTATGAAGCACAAAAGAAGACTCACATCAAAAGTTTGGTTGCACTATAAGATATTTCCACCCAGCAAGGACAAAAAGAGAAGATGTAAATGTAAGAAGTGTGAGACTGTATCTATTACTGAGGGCAAGTATGGTACTGGTAATTTAAAGCGACTACATGAGACATAGGTTAGTTGTTTATATCTTAGTCATCTGGATCAATATATATGTGTGCTTCTAAGTTTAATTTTAATAGATTTCGTGAGTTAATGAGTGTTGCTATCATTATGTATGATCTGCCTTTTCAATTTGTTGAATATGAAGGCATTAGAGCTATATTTTGTTATTTATGTGAGGAGGCTAAGCCCGTAAGTAGGAACACAGCCAAGGCTGACATATTAAAGATGCATAAAAATGAAAAGGGCAGGGTTCGACATATGTTGGAATCAACAAATAATAAGATTTCTCTAACATTTTATTTGTGGTATTCTTTGACTACTGATGGGTACTTATCTCTTATTGCATACTTTATTGATATGGATTAATGCTTACAAAAAAGAATTTTGAACTTCTCTTACATGCTTTCTCCATACAATGGTGTTGGTTTGACAAAAAAGATTTATACATTATTGGCTGAATGGGGGATTGAAAAAAACTATTTTCAATTACTCTAGACAATGCTTCTTCAAACTGTTCATTTGTTGATTGTTGAAGTCTCAACTCCATTTGAATGATGTTTTATTAGGTGGTGGGGAGTTTTTTCGCATTTTTTGTTGTGCACATATCTTAAATTTGATAGTGCAAGAGGGTTAAAAGAGGTTAATGAATCTATCATAAAGATTAGTGAGAGTGTTAAGTAAGTCAAAAGTTCTCAAATAAGGAAACAAAAATTCTTTGAATGCGTCGC